TGTAACCCAAAAATAACTGGGAAATCTGCACTTAACATAATAGGTTTGTTTTTATTTAGTTTCTCCTGATGGTTCATTCCTGTTACAGAGGTTGACAAGAAAAGTCTAAAGGCACTTGTGAAATCAGAGCTCTTAGATTCTAGACATGTTTCTGATATGGACTTTGTGGCAAAACTTCATAATTTTGCCTGAGTTTCTATGGCAGCTCAGGAATCCTCTATCCACAAATGTAAGTTCTCTTTGGTCCTTTTTATTCTATGTATTAATTACAAACTTTGTTTTATATTCTGAGTATTAATTTGATTATGTGAATGCATTACACTTTCAGCTTTACTGAAGTAGGTTGGGTTTGCAAGGGGAATTTTAGTGTCTTGCAGAAAAGCACTGGTGAAAATTTGTTAGGCCCTGATGATTCATTTTACTTTTTCATTTTAATTTTTCATTTATTTATTTTTATTTAAATTTTAAATTTACAGAAAAAAAATATATATATTTTACTACTCAGTGCTTCTGCACTTCTATGACAATCACCACTGTCTTTCAAACAAAAGGAGCAAAGCAAATTAAGACAAGGTCCTCTCTGTTCTCAAGTAATCAGAGGCATGCTTTCCGTAAGTTTGGCACTATGAGTATTTTTGCTGTCAGCATTCTTGAGTGTGCTTTGTCTTGTCCTGTACAAAACACCGCTACATGTCCATTTTCCACCCTAGAGACAATGTATGGCAATTTTTTTTCTTGTAGTATGTGATGTTTCTTGGCTGAACATAAGCTAGCAGTGTGCCCAAGTGGCCAAGAATGCCAATGGCATCCTGGCTTTTATCAAAAATGGTGTAGCCAGAAGAAGCAGGGAAGTGGTTGTCCCCCTGTACTCAGCTCTGGTGAGGCATACCTTGATACTATGTTCAGTTCTGGACTCCTCAGTACAAGAAAGATACCGAGCCCCTGGAGTGTGTCCAGGGAAGGGCAACAAAGCTGTGAAGGGTCTGGAACACAGATTTTATGGAGAGCAGCTGAATGAACTGGGATGGTTCGCTGTGGTTAAGAGGATGCTCAGAGGAGATCTCAGACCTGGAAGGAGGTTGTGTTGATGAGGGGGGTCAGCCTCTTCTCCTATGTAACTACTAGTTACCAGTAGAACAAGAGGGAATGGTTTCAGGTTGCTCCAGGGCAAATTCAGATTGGATATTAAGAAAAACTTCTTTTCCAAAAAGTGGTCAGCCAATGGAATGGGCTGCCCAGGGTTGAGTCACTGTCCCTGGAGGTATGTAAGAAAATGAGATGTACAAAGGGATGTGATTTTTTGGGAAATATTGATGGTAGGTGTATGGTGAGACTGGATGATCTTTGATGTCTTCTCCAACCTTAATGGTTTTATGATTCTATGATTCTATGTGTTATATATTTTATACAAACACAGACAACATGTATTTGTTATCTAACAAAATTTTGAATGGGATATTTGATGCAGAGTTACTCCAATTCATTGACTGTGTTATTTCTGTGAGGGTGCTAAGGGAGGCCCAGCCTCCTCTGGGAATTCCTCCAAACCTTCCCATGGTCCATGAGCTCCATTTCAGCTCTGCCCATGACCATCAGGCCCTAGTGCAGTGACACAGTCCATGCATATAAGTCACTAAGTTGAATAGACTATGAAAGACTGTCCCAGAAAACTTCCTATCTCTGCCTCTATTTTGGTTCTAATTTGTTAATTTACGGAGCTTTGCAAAACTGGCTTTGCTCTTTTTACTGATTACACCTATTCCTCTGAATGGCAGGGCATACCATCCATGGTGGTGTTACAGTGCTTTTAGCAGTTTACTACTGTGGAGACCAGAACCTTTTTTCAGTTCTTTTTAAATCTTTGCATTGCAAGGAAGAGATTATCTGCCTTCCAAAAGTCAGAGAAGAGGTGCTTAGGATTGTCCCCATAAAGTAGATGTTCTCACATTTTCAGGTTGTCGGCTCCATGCTGATAGAGAGAATATTTCCCATCACAGACCCATTCCACCCATCTGTCAGCCATGGATGATATGGTAAGACTAGAAGATAAATACAGTTAGCTCTTTTAAAAGCAGTATGAGTAGGGATTATGCATTTATTTTTCTCCATGTGAGATATAGTAACAAAGTCTTCAGGGACTTTATTAAACCTTCTTCTCTACTTTTTCTGCACACTGCATACACATTAATATCTACTTGTAGATATTGTTTTTTTCCTTAGCCATCTGACCTTGTCATCTCCGTTAAGCATGCTGTGGCCTGGTTCCTTTTTCTCTTGAACTGATTTCCTTATCTTCTGTTTCCTGCTTCCCTCCCTGAAAATGTATTTTGAAAGATTACTCTCAGGGAGCATGACCTAGAATAGTGCTCAGTTCATGTTACTAGTCTACAGACATAATTCAATCCAGTAGAATATTGAAGTGGCTACCCAGAATTTTTGTAAACTAAAAAAAACCAACCCACTAAAAAAAAAACAACGACCCAATAACCAGAGTAGTTAATGCAGAAACTAGTGAGTAAGATCCTATCCACAGGCCAGTTTGAGTGTGGACATGAGCAGCATGAGCATCTCTGTGTCTCCCATCTGTGTTGCAAAGATGGAGGGGCAATACTTTTCCTAGCACAATACTCATATAACTCATATAAAATGTGCAACTTACTGACACAACTGTATTAACCATGAAATGGCCAAGGTGCAGCAAGGATCTAAGAGAAAAGGTCAGACTCATCTGATGTCTGGAGTCATCTTTATCAGAAATGAGCCAGAAAAAATAAAATATAGGCTAGTCTAAAATTATAGTTGATCCATGAAGTCTATTGTATGGCCACAATAGAGTCTTTGTTTTCAGGACGTAGCCAATGTTATGAAGAAGATGGATTTATTGTCAGACCATAGGAATGCAACTATGCTCTGTTTTACGGAAAATGTCATAAATAACATACTCAGAAATCACCCTCACAGATTCAGAACACTGTAAATTACAGAAAGTAGTTGTGTGAATTCATTCTACAGTGAGTTAATTAAGGCCTTCATAAATCCATTAAAGAAAAAAAGATACAGAGTAAGAAGAAAAATCTATGCTTTTGATTAAGATTTGAAAAGAGGGAATGAATTGATGAGGCAGAGAGAAGTAATCAGTTTCAGACAGCACGTTACAGATGAGAAGATGTTTACAATAAGAGTAGTGAGTGTAAATAAACAGCAAGAAGCTGGGATCTAGACTGCAAAAGGAGAAACAGGAAAGGGAAGAGGTGTGTTGAGCTAGAGATAGTCCATGGGTTTGGAAGGCAAGAAAAAAGGAGGTATCCATCTGGATCATGTACTGGATGGAAAGCTGAGTGGAACAGAATGGTAGGAACCAACATTGTTGTGAAGAAAAGAGAGGTATGAAGACTTTTAAAGGACGATTGCAGAAGAGATGGTCTTTAAAGGTGTCTTTTAGATATGCCAATACATAAATTCATGCACTTATGATTCTCTCGTGCTGGCCTACTGCACATCAACAACAAAAATTTGCACTACATAAGCTCCCATTGTACTGTTCTCCCTTCACATTTCAGACTGTATCCAGAGTGTGCAGAGGAGCTCTGCTCCCCATTTGGTGCAATTACTGATTGAGCACCTGAAAGGGTGAGGTCTCAAAATATCTCCCAGAAAAGGATTCGGGTTACAAGGTTGGATAAGTGGTAAGAGCTGGCAGTAGATTGCAGATTCAGGCTTGCTCACTCCAAAGGAATGTTAGCTCTCTCCAGTAAGTTGCACTGCTCTTGCACACCACACCACGTCCTGCCATGATACATTGCCTTCCAGCAAGGCAGGGATGCGTTGTGTTTCTAGATAAGGAATATATTTACAAAGTTCAATTTCTACAGGGCAGAAGAGGAATTAACTTTATCTGAAAACACTCTGTTTGTACCTAGCTTTGTATTTATGAACTGCCAGCACAGAAGGCTATGATTCCTTTTAAGAAGATTGACTTGATCTTTGTTTAAAAAAATGCAAACAGAAAACTCCTGCTAGCGTAGCCACATGGAGTGGAACAGATAATTTACTTCTGTCAGAATGCATTATTTGTGGATGTCAGTACTGTGTTCTGAATAGGATGTTGAAATACACTGTGGGTATGTTACTTATGTACATTTACAGAAAGATACAGCTGGTAAGAACAAATGAGCCGTAATAATAGGTAGTTAAAATGTTAATGGAATAATGGAGGTCAAGCAGAAACAGTCAGTCAGTCAGTTACCAATAAAAAAAGGAGACAAACAAGAGGTCATCTTCTTTCTGGAAGACAAAAGCTCTCAATTCATTAGAGAATGAGCATCTACATGAGCACAACTCCCAGTCTGATTCCAATCTGAGCTTATAGTTTGATCCCAGTTCGGTCTTTTTCCTAAACATTTCTTGTTTGGGGCATTTATTTTTGAACATGAATTATTTAAATTTTGAATTCAGAAAATATTTATTACTGAATATCTGAGCATTTTTCCTAAACTGAAGTGAGCCTGTAAAAAAGAAAAGGGTCATTAAAATAGAAAATAATTAGAATATTTTCTGTAAACAAGCAGTAGTAAAGTCTCACTGAACTGCTTATGTGAAGCAGAAGGAAAGCAAATCTAAGCTTGAATTTTGACAACTATTTGAATGTTTCCATTGAATGGTTGAGCTTTCTTGTTAAGCAGTTCACACTATTTTACTTACAGATGAATTTGGATCCAAAGAAAATCTGGGGGCACAAGAAATAAATCCAAACTATTGCAACAGTTGATTAACAAGTCTTGATTTGAAGAGTGGGGAAAGTTGTGTGGAAAAAAATGTCCAGATATGAAAAGGTGTACATAGTAACTATGGGCTGCAGTAGATGACTTCCCCTCATGGGACATGGCATGCAGAGCTTGATACACTAGGACTTCCAAGAAACCTCTCAGGAAAAGGGTATAAAATACTGGAGTGTTTAAAAGGAGTGATTTTTCGCTTCTCTTCTTTTCTGTCTTTCTGAGGTGAGTCTTCTTGGCAGAACTGGCAGGAGTGATTCAACTGATCCCCATCTCTGCGTGGTGAATTACCATGCTTGGCACATGCAGGCTTGTCTGGATTGCTGCTGCTCAGCCAGGTAGCACAGGTATCTCTGCTGTATGTCTGTTTGGTCAGTGCCCAAATCCTACACTACTGCATTTCTTCTGTTGCTTGTGGTATTGCTTTGTTCCACAAAGACTGTGCAATGATTAAAGGCTTGTTCTCAAAAGAAGTGGGAATGTGCAAAATATATTTGGTTCCCACAGTAGTTAAAACTACTCCACTAAACTCTCATTAATAAGGCATCTCTTGCAGAGTCGTAATGATAATAGAAACAGCGCTGACAGAGTACTGGGTCAGTGCTTTGTGTGCATGCAAGGGATTCTATTAGAGCTTTAAAATCATTTCAAAGGCTTTGCCTCAGCAAATTTTCATGCTCGTTTAAACCCCTGGTTTGTCATTATAAAGTGTATTAACTTTCATATGCTTAATGCTTATTTCTGTCCTGAGAGAAATAAACAAATAATACTTGGCAAATGTGCTTCCTGGGAAAGGAGACTAAGTGGCAGCAGGGCACTGTTTGCACTTAGAGCTGATTGCTTTAAAAATCTGATCTAGAGTTCAAAAGGTGAAAAAACAGTCATGGTGAGCGTGTGCACTTAACTTATATTTTCTTTTTCACTCAGAATGAATTTGCAGAGCAGTCTTCTGACATGCGTGAAGCAGCGCCAGTTATTCAAGTCTTACATGGACGAGGAGAAAGCGGTAAGGCACATTTGTGCAGTATTTCTGTGAGACTGCTAGCCTCGAGTGCAGACTGCTCCCTGCTGCTGCTACTATATAGACTTCATGAATGACTGGTTTAAAGTGTGGTGAAACCACAGTGAGAAAATATGTGTTCCTTTTCCGTAGGCTTTTAGAAACAAATAAGCATCTTTATGAAACTACGGTGTCTCTTGTGCCAAAACATTGGCGTGGGGCAGCCCACAGCAAATGTTCATGTAAGGCCATTTAGAAATGTTTATTCCAGGAGTGAACAAAGCTCAGAGGGTGTTGTTTGGCTGGAAAGGTGTGTGAGAGTAGAGAAAGAAGAAAGTTGAAAAACAGATGAAAGAATCAGGGAAATTTCCTTGGGACTGTTGAATCTGAGGAAGCCCTTTTTATACTGCAGGGATTTGGGAGTGCTGAGTGGAGATGTCTCACTGTTGTAACCAAGAAACAGAACTCTGTAAAAAAGCAGGAAAGCACTTTGCTCCATATCTAACTTATTTTCTGAAAAAAAATACTGTCCTGTGTGGAGAAGCTTTTTATTTTCAGGAAACACTGAGATTTAGAGATGATTTTGTGTTACTTCTTCAGGTACGCTTACTGCCATTTTGTATGATTAGTATTCGGACTTTGGTTTCTCTTAATCACCTACTGCTAACTGCAATTAATAATTTTTTCCTGATACTAATTGCAGTTACTAATGTGCAAATAAATGCAAATATTGATTTTGCAGTGTGGGAAGATCAGTTGGAAGCTCAGATGAAAGCCATCACATTTTGTGTGATCTAATCCACTTTTTAGCATACTATGTTTAGTGTTCTAATACAGAAACTACTGAACTAGTGAATGTTTGGGAATAAATGCTCAGTGAAACCAGTTCTTAATATTTTGATGGCAGTTTATTGGGGTTTAGATAAATGTAGCTTAGATCAATTCTTGTGTCATCACGTGATTTATTAAGTGCATCTTCTGCGACCTTATCACAGTACAATTCATTTACAGTCTGTCCTTATAACATCCATGGAATTTGCTTGTTTTAGAAATATGTAGTGGCAGTGGGTGGAGGAAAGGTTATAAAAAAAGTTATTGTGGCTGGGGATCTGAATCAGCATAGGGTTTTATATGAAAATTGCCCTACAGGAGGTACAGCAATTCTACACAGAGAATGTGCAATTTATAAATGAAACCTTTTACTCTACTCTACTTCCTCCACGCACAATTAGGCTTCTTGAAAAAAAAAAAAAAGAAAAAAAAGCAGCCATGGTGCAATGCTAATACTTATGAGCGATGCATGATTGATGATCCCCTAAAGGCAGCGAGAGAGAAAATTACCTCCTTCCCTCATTTAAGGACATTATTAGAAGACTTGTTGAGTTCAAAGCTCAGGAAATTATGTTAAGAGGACTGGATAAGGCTTTAAAAAAATCAGGAGAAATTATTTTCTCAGTAGTTAAAGGTAAGATTCCTTTTAATACACTGTGTAAGAAGAAAACCTTGTCACACTGTTACATGATATTCTCTAAAAGTATTTGTCATATCATTTGTGATTTATTTGCACAAGTATTCCTCTCTCCATGTACTAACTGCACTGTAATCTGCAACCAATGGAAATTAATGCTACATTCTAAATGCTATGTCCTTGTATCTCAGTGGGAAAAGTAAACAGATCCTTCTCTCAGCTGTAAAGGTAACGTGATATACTGGGAAAGAACAGGATGAACTGATGCTGTTCAGAAGACTGGGGTTTTGGAAGTGGGACAGGGTCAGCATCAGCCAGCAATGTTCACTTCTAATGCAGGAGAGAGGGAAAATAGTGGTGGTTCTGAACAGACCAAACAATACTTTTCTTTCATTTTTGACTTGCATTCTCTGCTATTCACAGCATTTTGTGCCACTGCTCTAGCATCAGTCAGGACCTAGTGAGAGGTGTGCTTCAGCTGATCTGGGGGACATGGGGCTGGTCTGTCCTGCCACTATCCTAATGAAGCACGGTTCCTCCTTTTCACTGGTTTCAGAAGGAAACAAGACTCACAGTGTCCTTTTATGTATCCATCTGATCTGTGCCTGAAGACAAGTAGGAATTCTCCTTATAGTTCGGAGTTTGGAAAAGTTAGTTGTCTAAAAGATATTACATTTACACAATTTGCTGTGGGCAGAAAAGAGATGGCATCACCAGCCATGTTATGGGAGTATCCACCAAGCACTTTGCCCTTTTCAGGCTGTAAGGGAGAAGTTTTATGATCGCTCCAAACAGGAAGAGTTCATGTATGTTTAGGAAAGCCTATATGTTGAAATGACAGATAAGGTATCTTTCCAGATAAAGTAGATCACAGTGGATTAGTAACATGTATCTGCCTTATCACAAAGTCTTGATGTGATTTTTACAGATGTCTTGGGGGAATTAGAGCAATTTTGAGATTTTGTACTCTTGTAGGAGATTTTGTCTTGTAAGAGAAAAATATATTGCTCACCCATCTCCAGACAAGAAGGTAATAGGTAGGTTAGACTTGATGAATCACATCTGAGTTGATTCTTTGTAGTCATGGTCAAAACCAATCCTTCCCTAATAGTATGTCTTCACAGCATTGAAAAGTTATATGTGTTTTAGTGCCCTGAAAAGGCTAGGCAGAGTTGGGCATTCCCATTTTTCTTTCACTACCTGGAATCTGAAAGCTTTTTCTATACACAAAAAGTAACAGCTTTGTTTTTTTTTCAGACTGGCAATATCTATATCTAGAGAGCTAACAAATCAAGAAAAGATAACAGTATCGTATCCATGTTAAAATCATTCTCTTAATGCATTGCATCTATTGCTCTCATAAAATAGGAGCTGTCTTATAGCTACCACTCCGCTCCCCTCCTTTGAGAGTACAGCTGACAGGATAAAGGCAGCAGCCATGTCTAAGTTAACTGAGCCAGAGCATTTCTCAGCTCCTATGTATAAAGCTTTTAGACTTTTCATGATGTGTCCAGGAGAATCACAGGCCCAGGTACTGTTTCCACTTTCAGATTTGTGATTTTCTTGGAAAGGAAGCAAGATATAGGCCTGAAGGGAGGCACATTTGCTCCCTGAATGAAGCATGGGGACAATCAGTAGCATACATTTGATGCAAAATTTAGATTTATACATTGTCTACGTACCATTACATAGCTGAATGTACCAATGAAAACATATTTTTACCTCAACTGGCTCACTGCAAATTTGGTTTATAAAGCTCAGTGCAAACCGACAAAGTGGTGCCTTCATCATCATTAAAAACTAATCAGGCCCATCGTTGCTGAAATATCAGCTTGTCTTGTTTGTATACAGAGTACATCATTAGTTTATGTAAATATGAGCAACAGGCTTCTTCAAGGCTCCCCACACTTCATCCTGCATTCCTCTCATGACAGGAAAAACAGTTATATCCACGAGCCATCTCAACTGCTTCAGCACAGTGTGCTTCAGACATGGCCTGGGATGCATCCTTTGAACCTTTGAGGCTGAAGTGTCGCAAACTATTCTCTATGCCAGCAGTGCTTACTCAAGATATTTACAGCTTTTTTTTAAATTCCTCACAGTGATATAAAAATATTGTGTATAGGCGAGAATCAGTGCCAGATATGCTTGCATGTGCTGAGAGGAGAAGAGGAAAACTGCAGCAGGTAACTCATTTGTTTGGCTTTGTGGCCCACTGGGGCTAAGGGCAGCATCCTCATCAAATCTGCAACAGCTTACATTCCTTGCATTCTTGGTGATGTACATTTTAATAACAGCCTAGTTGTTGTTTCTTCAAGGAATTTTTGACACAAACTACATGTTAAATTAAATAAAAGATGTAAATAGCGCAATTAGCACAAGGAAAAATATCCATGAAAGCATCAGATCTGTAAAAATGTAGCTAATTGAGTGTATTAACATTAACTTCTGCATAATAAGATGTGGTTGATGCAACGAGTTAATGCATCAGCCTTTCACCCTAGAAACCTTTAGAATCACACAGAAATGAATTTGGTAGCTTCATACAACTCTCTTTGTAACATTAATCCACTTTATACACGTCACAGCGCAGTTTGATCTGCCTGGATGCTAAAGAGGGTCAGGCAAGTGAAACAGGGTGGAACACCCCCCTGAGCAACCATGGGGCAGCTGGGTCCAGCTGGTCCACTGCTTTCCCTTGTGTCACTTATTGCTTCATGAGGTTCTTTCTTCCTAGAGTGTTCATCATTGCTCTGCTGACATCTGTGCTGGAAGCATATGCAAGCTTAAAATTTGCCCCCTCTGGTTTAGCAATATCAAAGTAATAGTCTGTTACTTAGATTTCTTATAATTACAACGTGAAGAAAAGCCTTCTTGGCTATTTATTTTGCAGGCGTGTGCTCTAAAAGAGAAAAGGATAGAGAGATGCATGCTTCTGCATCCCAGAATAAGTAGGCTGCGAAAGAAAGAGACCTTTATTAGTATAACTTTTTTTCATCACTGTGCTCCACTTACATGATATCAAAATCAAACTGCATTAAGCTATCAGACGGTCACAGTCAATCAGATCTTTCCAAAGCATGCTCCCATTTCATTGTGTGCAGTGTAGACAGTACTTAAATATTAACTGACTACAAGTTACATTTAGAAACATTTTAAAAATAACCCTTTTCAAGCTTTTGACAACAGATGTAAGCCAAAGGCTTTGTGTGTGGAGAGGGGACAGGCATACTGGTACCTAATTTCTCATCTACGCTGAGTAAGAATCAGTAATAATTTAGTACAAAATTTTTAGTGCTTAGATCCTTAGAACATAAGCAACCTGGAAGGGTTAAAAGTAAGCAGCAAAACTAGGGTCAAACTTTGACACTTGGTTATGGTGCTGTTTTGTTCAAATCAGAAAACAGATATTTTGATCCTCATAGTATCAGTGCACACTGATATATTTGTAAGCTAAGGATGCACAGTTCTTCCCCTTTTCATTTGTAACCTCTTTGAAAACACATCTATGTACTTGTGCAAATTTTACAGG